TAATACACTTAAAAACTCAAAATACTAAGAAAGTTATATCCAGAACGCTACCTAACAAAGCACTGAAACATTAAAGTGATCAGGAATACTCCTGACCACTTTGCTTTTTGCAGTCATAGAAGTGGTATACCATATCTCAAAATTTACATTCAGACTTAAAAAAACAAAGAATCATCTTGATCTGAAGTGAAAGAAAAGGACTCTCAAACTGCACACTAACTAGCCACTCTCTCTTCCAACTGCAGAGAAAACAAAATGGTAAAAAACAACTTAAATACTTTAAAAAAATACTGACAAAGTTCTTTCCTTCATATCAGCCATATGAGTCAAATTGGGTAGTAAACTTTGAGTAGAAGCCTAATTTTGAACATAACTGACATGCCTATATAAGCTTTCTGAATAGACGCTGAAGTTAATACATTGTTGATGCTGAAGTGCAGAGAGAACAAGTTGAAGAAAACACCTCTTCCTACACCAGAAATTCCTTTGCAGCTTTCAAACCTTATTTGTAGCTCTCCAAAGCACCTAAGTATTTCTCCCCTCCATACTGTCAAGTGCAGCATCTATTCTCCTAGCACTTTATTTTCAGACTAAATTCTCCTTCTTGTTTGTCTCCTCTGCCACTCCCATCCCTTCCCAACAAAACCAGAGACCCATTTCAAGTGTCTCATTTTTCCCAGGACTCCAACTAAAGGAGATAGTTACAGCTCAAAGTCCCTTCTTCAGCTGGGCTTCACATACCCCCCACAACAGCAAACTGACACCAGAAACCTCTGAGCCATGAACAAAACCCCTCCTGAACCTCTACAGCTTACAGCACAGCAGTTTAAAAATTGAAGTCAGTGTTTTCCTATGTTCAGATACCGTATTGGACCATGAAGATTTGGGAAGCTGGTTCATGAGAAACCCCAAACCTCATGAAGCAGTGACAAGGAGAATTACTAGAGTAGTCATCTTGCCTATCACAGCTTGTCAGAAAGCATTAAGGAAACAGTGGTCTTGAGAACTTATTAGCATTCAGGGCTGATGGACCCTTAACATCCACTCTT